AGTCTTAAAGTTGCCAAGGTTGAGGACACCTGTCTTAAGACAAGGTTTTTAACTACACAGTTTTATGAATGATGACTGAAATGGGATGAAGAAAGCTGTTATGTAGCGTCACATTCCTGGGTGTGCAGCTAACGAGTAGGCTGACTTGGTCGCTCAACAGTGTGAAACTGGTGAAGCGGGCACAGCAGCGCCTGCATTTTCTGCGCCGCAAGAGAAAAGCACATCTTCCTTCTCCTGTCCTGACCACTTTCTACAGGGGGACAATCGAGAGCATCCTGTCATACAGCATCACAGTCTGGTTTGGAGGCATCACTGCTTCAGACAGGAAGGCGGTGCAGAGAATAGTGAGAATGGCTGAAAAGATCATTGGCAGTTCCCTCCCTCCCATCCAGGACATAGCACAGAAGCGCTGCTTGAGCAGGGTCTGTAAGATTATCTGGGACACTACACACCCTCTTCACGACCTGTTTTCCTTATTACCTTCTGGAAGGAGGCTTCATGGTATCTGTAGCAGAACATCCAGATTCAGCCAGAGTTTCATTCCATACAGCATTAACCTTGCAAACTCTCGAGCTTCCTCCTTCCATTATATATTCAAGATGGACAATATTTAATATTTATTTGCTACGTATATGTAGGGATGTGAGGCTATACCTATGTTCATAGTATGTTTAGGTGTGTGTCATGTATGTGTTTCACTTTGAGAGCGGGCAACTAAATTTCATTTTTGATGTATGCCATTGTGCCCACAGTATAAAAATGACAATAAAGGTTATCTTATTTTATAAGAAGAATTGTAGATAAAGCCTAGGTCATGCTTGATTTCTGGGCATGTCCTTGGCAGCATTATAAGAAGTGGTTTTTCATTGCTTTTTCCAGGACTTTCTTTTTTCTTTATTTCTTTAAACAAATTTATATATACATTTCTCTTGTTACTTTCCAGTCTAATCTTCATCCCTGGCATTTCATAATGATTTCTTGTCTAAGTACTGACCTTTTTTGAGGTTAGCCTAGTCAGTCAGTTTGGTTCTGGATGTAAACAAATAGACATCAGTTTTCTAAACTGAATTGAGTGTAAAGTATAAGGATTATATAAACAAGCCCAACTCCACCTTCTGGTCTATTAAGGGTGCTCTATAATTTCAGTTTACCTTTATCTTTCTGAGGACAATCGGACACTTAAACAAAGCAGTAAGTTTTAACTAATCACTATTTTCACTTTGTAAGAAATTCCTATGAAGCCTATACAGTAATGAACTTGGAAAGATTTATAAAGAAGATGGTAAAGAGTTGCTTGCAACATGGTGGTTTCTATTTCATTATAAATAGACGAACAAACAAAGTGTGGTGTTGCAGGGAACCTGAAGGAGATCTACCGCAGTGTAATGATTAAGATGAGGACTATGAATCAGGAAATATAAGTTCTACTCCATCCACACCATGAAAGCTCTCTTAGTGATTTTGGACTAATCACTGTCTTTAAATTCAACTTAACTCACAAGACTGTGCTGGTCAATGACTATAATTGTGGAAACCCAGAGAGATGAGTTTGAGCAGACAATATTGTGACTGTTACAAAACATAAGAAAACACTAAAAAGAGACTCAGAATGGTTCCCTGGGGTGTAGGAAGGAGAAAAAGGAAAATAAAACCAGACTTTTGACATTCTGTTACTACAGTTTAGCTCAGTAAAGTTTCATTCGTTTTTGAGGATTCTATTTCCTGACCTGGCTTACCTAAAAAGGCTGACAATAGTAAAGATTTATTTGATTTGAGAGTTGTTAAGTTGAAAAATTAAAGAAGGATTAGTATTCATGGCATCTTGAGCTCCTGAATGTATGATGTTGAATATAGATATTAATACATTCAGGAGCTCAAGATGCTATAAATAATAATCTATTTCATTTAATAATTAATTAATATACCAAAGGAGGTTCCTGCAGTCACATAGATGAATATCGTTTGCATTCTCTATACTCAGTGCATCAGGGATGTTCTTGTAGACACATATTTCAAAGTTCCTATTCTGGTTTCCACCTATTACTATTGCAATACTGCAGGTATATGTACTGGTAAGTACTGTTGTCTCCTTTTCATTCAAGTTAGTATCTACATAAAAAGTTTGTTAAATTTTCATGTTAATGAATGTGACAAAATTACATATATAACTGCAGCCTATTTTTTTATTTTGGGGTTCCCCCCCTGTAGTTTTGTTTTAGATACCCTTTTTCCAGGAAAGAGTCCACTGAAATGTGTACCTTTATTATCAGAGATTAAATGAAAACTGATCCCATCCACCTGGAATATTGTGGGGAGTTCTTAGTTCTGGCTTCCAAGAGACTAATTCCACAACTCTGCACAAATTAAACACTGACCATGGTTTATAAAATGTAGATTAGCCATTTGTCTTGTCAAGTTACTAAATGTTGCTTTTAACAGTAGAGATACTCATAATAATTTCTTTGTTGTGTCTGATGTAAAAATGTTCCTCAGTGTTGTGAGATCAAAAAGCAAGATGGATAAAGCCAAGAAGGAACTAACAAACTCTTTGGGAAGAAGTCCATATCCCCCATATCCCAACAGCCAAAAAGTAGACTCTACTCCAGGAACCAGCTCAACTCCAGTGAACACTTCCTACAGAACATTCAATAAGAAATATCCAGTGGTGAAAGAACGTGGATTTTATTCTGATGTCCTAACACCTGGTGCTTCAGATCTCTTGGGTGTAAGTATATAGAATCTCACTTCTCTGCCTTTTTTTAATATACAAAAATACTAATATAAGATAGATAGATAGATATAGATATATAGATATAGATATGTGGGAAAAATGCTTCGAAGCATGTGGAAAAATAAATAGCACTTGTCTGTAATTTTTTGCATTAAACAATAGTTTGCTTGGAATTGCACAGCAACCAGAGAGAATAGCCATAGAAACCCAAGAAAATATGAAGCTACAGTACATAGTGGCACAGTGGTTAGAATGCAGTACTGCAGGCTAATTCTGCTGATTGCCAGCTGCAAGCAGTTCAGCAGTTCGATTCTCACCAGTTCAAGGTTGACTCAGCCTTCCATCCTTCTAATGTCAGTAAAATGAGGAAACCAGATTGTTGGGGGCTGTACTGTGAAGCAGTGTATAAGTCATAAGTGTTATTGCTATTAAAGTGTTGCAGATAGATGTTATGTGAATGTCCCTGTGTTCTTCAAGACACTTTTTGGCCTTGAATCTGAAGCACTACACAGCCCAAGCAAATATATAAATTCTGGATCTATCTTATCAATAGGGAGTAATTGCTGATTTTCTAATTCCATTCTTTGCTCAGTTTTTATCTTTCTTCCCCTCAAGCTGTTCTTAATTTGGATAGAAATATAGAAAATAGATTGTTTTCAGTTCTCTTCTAATTTCTGAGGAGAGAAATTGCCACTGTTGAAAGAAAGTAGCAGTTTTATTCAATAGTATCTCAGATGCTTTCATAATTAGCTTGGCTTTCCCATAATTGTTATACAAGGGCATCCCATATGTTGTAATTCTGGCTTCAATTCATTTGCTTCAATAAAATTTAAGAGCTTGAAATTAAGTTTTAATAATAAAACTGAGAAAGACTATACTAGGAAAAACAAAATAGAAATGCAAGTAAAGATTAATTTATAATATCATAGGTTAAAAAAATCTACTTTATGGTTATATGGAAGTCATTCTAGATACAGTGTGATTCACAAACTGTACCAGAAGCTGTATCCAAATGTGTCCATTAGATGTTTGAATTCTCAGTGACTTCTGCAAGAGACTGTGCAGATGGGGGAATATGATGTTTGTAAGTATCATACTGAGGATTGTAAATATGATGTTTCCTATGTTTATATTTACCCAAAACCTCAGTACACATAGAAACAACTGCAGGTTCATAAGTGATTATTTTCTGAACTAAAAGTTCCACTCATCCATACATTCATGCATCCATGAGTAACTATTTGACAAACTCAGAGAGGAATCTGGCAGGCTTATGGTAGTACTGATAATAGTTTACCTATTTCCTTTGCCATATTACCTAACTCATTGCTAGATTTGAATTCCAGCAGAACTGAGTAAGAATATCCATTGTGCATAATACCTGGTCCTTTATAATGGCTCCAAAATGCTACCATTTTAATAAGCGTTCCACAAAATTGAGTAATTCCACTTGCTGCCTTTCTTAAAAGACTCCAATGAAGGCCTACTACTTTGTGGGAACTTCTCTTGTTCTGAGAATATATTTTTCTTTAATAGCTATCTTTTGTTTTGTCTTCTTAAAATGTTCATTTGGTAATTTTCTATTTATTGTATGACCCAAGGAGTGACAATCAATGCTCATGATAATTACATAAGGATAACAATGTGATGCCACATGCAAAGGGAAGATAATTATAAAGCTTCCATTGTATGTGTAGATTTCTGCTCATATAATATCAGGTATGCAGGTAGTCTTCGACTTATGACCACAATTTATGTTGCTAAATGAGAACTTTGTTAAGTGAGTTTTGCCCCATTTTATGACTTTTCTTGTTACATTTGTTAAGTGAATCACTTCAGTTGTTAAATTAGTAACCTGGTTGTTAAGTGAATCTGGCTTCCCCCATTGGTTTTCTTGCCAGAAGTTTGCAAAACATGATCACAAGACTCCAGGACACTACAACCATCATAAATATGAACCAGTTGTCAAGCATCCGAATGTAAATCATCTGACCATAAAGATGCTGCAATGGTCATAAGTGTGAATAATGGTCATAAGTCACATTTTTCAGTGCTGTTGAACCTTTGAACAGTTACTAAATGAACTGTTGTAAGTTGAGGACTACCTGTAGTTGTTGAGAAACTTAGGAAATTGCATGTCACTGAATTGGTGATTCAGTATTTTCTTCTCTATATTTTGTACATATAGAATTCTTGATCTTGCTTCTTCTTCAAACCTTTATTGTGTTTAATTTCAGGATATGTGTACTGGTCCCAATGTGTACCAGGATTTATTGCAGCAGTCAGAGCTTGAAGAGCACACACCAGAAGGTAAACATAAAGCAAAGGATACTGTCATTATTTTTCTTACTGAGTAATAGGAAAAAAAAGTTGAGCTCCTGGAATCCAGCAGTGAAAACAGTGAAGAATGAGAGTTGATCATATAGTGTCAAAATCAGCAGAGCACCTGAGTAGAATAAAAACAAACCAGAAAAATTGTAGGTTTATAAACAAGTATATGTTTTCTGTAAAGCAAGTGGGAATAAATATCAAGAAAATAAATCTCCAATTGTTTAAACTCCTTGAACAAATGTTTGGTTGTGGTTTGGAGATATGAGAGATGGCACAATTCTTATTCTATACACCGTGTACTTTTGCATAACAACAATATTTTAAAATATATGAAACATTGGAAAAAGAATGACATTTTGGATAGCGATAAATAAAAACTAAGGTAATCTCAAAACAGCCATAGTTCCACAAAGCTCTTACTCTTTATGCAAAATGAGCAGGCCTGAGAATGCTTCTAAATCACTCTGTCAGTGGATGAACTGACTAAACAAATGCCAAACACAAACTAACCAGGAAACAAAGGTGTATTGATTTATTATGTGCCAAGAAACTGGTGTCAATTCTTAGTGACCACATTAGTAGATTTTCACCTGTTTTAATGTCTCCAACTTGACCCTTCAGATCTTCCAATGATGTACTCTTTATCATTGTAATTTAATTAATTCATCTTGCTGCTTGTTGTCCTCTTCCTCTCTTTCCCTCCACCTTTCCTGGCACTATAGACTTTTCCAGCAAGCTAGGTTGCATAATGTGTTCAAAATATGATAATTTGAGCCTCATTATTTGTGCCTAATGTGAGTACTCTGAACTGATTTCTTGTGTAATCTGTTTGTTGAGTCTTCTCCAATACCAAAGTTCAAAACCATCAATACTTTTTCTATTTGGTAGATGGATGGCCATGTACATTTGTTTAATAAATAAATAAAAATGTCTTCCTCCTTCAAAGTCCAACATTTGGTTTCATAGAGTGTCACAAGGAAAACCAATGCTAGATGATTCTAACCTTCATAGGTATAGACACAGCATGGCATCTGAATATTTTTTTCAAGCGTGTCATTGTTACCTTACCAAGTGCTAGCCTGTGGTATATTTCTTAACTGCTGTTTAGTATTAATATTGATCCTAAAAGGCTATTCACCACTTCTTTAATTGATCTTCATTATCTTATTCTAAGATTGGTTGCTGTATCTGTTATTACTGATTTGGTCTTCTTTATATTTAATCTTAGTTCTTTTTCACTATGCTTCTTGACTTTCATTACTACAGCTTCCAAAACATGTTTATTTTCTATCAAAATAGCATAATCAGCATAATGCAGGTTATTGATTTTTTTTCTTCAGTTTTAAATGATGCTCATCTTCTTCTAATCCAATTTCCCACAATATATATTCAGCATCTAGGTTGAATAAATAAGTGAGAGTATACAGCCTTGTCTCACTCCTATGCTGACTGGAGCCAGTCTATTTCACAATGTTCTGCCCAGACTGTGGTTTCCTGATATGTGTGAAAGTTTTGCATAAGGCCAAGGAAAAGTTCTGGGATTCCCATTTTCCTAAGCACTCTTCATAGCTTTATATAGAGGAGAAGTTGATAAAAGACCTCTCTGTAATCACTGAAGCCCTTTTTGAATTCTTCCTAGTATTTTTGGCTGTAACGTTGCCTCAGCAAAAATATCACTTGTTCCTTAACTTTTTCTAAAACTAGCTTTAACATATGCATCTCCCTTTCCATCTAATATGCATTGGATGGTTCTAAGCATTACTTTGCTAGCATATAAAATTAAAGAGATTTTATAATAGTTTGCATAATCTATTAAGTCTCCTTTTTTGGTATTGGTATCTAGACTGACTTCTTCCAGCCTATTGGCCACTATGTAGGTCTCTAGACTTTCTGGTATAGTTTAGTCAGAACTTTTACTGATTCCTCTTCTGTTGCTTGTCATATTTCTGTAGACATTTCATGAGCTCCTGTAGCCTTCTGACATGGAAATGATCAGAATAATGCCCTAACTTCATCTTCTAGCACTAGAGGTTCTTGTAAATAGGAAATTTCTTCAAAACTATTTCGAGTATAGACATCTCTGTATAGAATTTCAACATACTTTTCCATGCTTGCTTATCTTCTTTGAATCAGTTTCTGTCTATCCAGTGGTATCTTTCAGTATACTAATTTGAGGTTGAAATTTTGTGAATTTGTCTGTTTCCATCTTCAATGTCTTTATAGATGTCATTGTAATACTGATTCTTCTCTCCTCTAACCCCTTAATATATGGTTCACTATTATATGAAATCCCAGGCTTTGTAACTTATTTAACAATTTCCTTAAAATATATCTTCTGAGAGATCTGAATCTAACTTGGTATGTCCAAATATAATTCCTCATTTGTTGCAATAATAAACCATTCCCCCTCAAGTACTGATGGGCTACCTCACTTGGATATCTATTCAGAGTATGCGGGTAGATTGCATGACCTGAAGGGCCTCTTCTGGTTTTAGGATTCAGTTATTCTAAGACTTAAACCAAAAAAATTCCATTATTTTGGAAGAATTATTTTTATGATGGGCTGTGTCCTAATGAAAGAAATGTAATCACACAGAATTAAATCTCAGTTCTGTATAACTAGAACCATTACTATGCTTACAAAATAAATAAAGGAGCAAACATTTCCAGCAAACCCATACCTGCATGCCTAAAATGCAGAATACTGTCAAATCTAAAATTAATGATGCAAAATCTAAGATTGATATGGTAGTTAGATGAACAAGCTCAGAAATCTCCTTCCTAATATAGATTTATCACAAATTTAGTTCAGGTGACCTTTTATGATTTGAAGTTGGTTCATAATGGGCTTTGTCTTATTGTGGATATTCTGTTTTAATTTTCTTGTTTCCTCTTTCTAGCTTGATAGTAGAGATACAATAGGGATCATAACACAGCAGGTTCTCTGATGCAAGTTGATTTATTAGTATCCAAAGCTATTAATAACCAAAGGGTTATTACATTGCTCACAGTTCCTATGGTATTCTGTGATGCTGAGCATAGTTGTGGCAGTGCCTAGGTACATATTTGATTACAATACTTACTTTAGCTTCCATTAGGAACTTCCCTCACTAGGTAAAAGGACAGGAACAGGCAACTGAAAAGGGATGAGGTGATTTAAATTAGTTTCTAGTATCTCCTTGCCCTCCTAATCATTGTCTTGAACTTCTAGCCAGTCTTAACTTAGAACAAAGCTGATTTTTTTTTTTAAAAAAGGGAGCAAATAATATATATTGTTTCAATACAGAGGATCACTCAATGTCAAGAAATCACAAACAACTGGGCAATTGAAGCAAACTGTAAATATGTTGTTTAAAATAGGACAGGGAGAATAAGAAATTATATCAACATTACTTTTAATCAAGAATCAAGATGCTATGGCCCAAATGTAAAACAAAATGCTAACTGGGTTTGCTTGGGATTAAACAGCTCTTAGTCAGCACTGTTGTACAAACATAACCTACTTGAGAATGGAGCAGTTCTGTAGCTCCAGTTACTCAAAAAAGGGAGTTGGAGACTGAGAGCAGCTGAAAAAGTAAGGTTTTCTATACAAACTCATTGGCATTGTCCTGGCAGCTACAAAACATGCTTCTTTTCCACTAATTGGTTCCTATGCCCAAGCCAAACCTACTGCTGTCTGGCTAACCCACGGAGAAGATGCTAATGAGATCAAAACTTGGCAATGTTTTCTGATATAAAGGACTAATGAATACTAGATATTAGTTGTGGGTTACAGTTCTGTATTCCTCCAAATTATGAGGTTTTGACCAGTGTGATTATAGGCTACCAGAACCATTATGATTAGATTAAACTTATATGAACTGGACCTCTAGCAAATCTTTTTATGTGTTGTGATAAAAATGAACCTTAAAGATTATTTAAGGAAAATATATATATTTAGCTATAAGGAATTTGAGGAACACTAGTGCCACAAAGCCTTTTAGCTGACATTTACAAGCCCTGCTTTCTATATTCTTATTTCCTCTATTGGAATTTTTCCTCCAGATTGCTTAGGGACCTCATTTTATGGGAGCTTATCATAACAAACCTAGGATCAAAATTAGTGTTAGGCTCTAAATTAGGATGAGAGTGACTGGCTCAATAAGGTTACCCAGTGAACTTTCTGATTGAGTTGGAATTTTTGCTTACATCATCCTACACCTATGCACCCCATTCACTTTTGGTAACTAAAGAAAAGTTATTATTGATACTGAATGAAGCAGTTTCTCAGTTTATATTCAGATATTTTCACCACCTCAGCATAGAAGAGTCTATAATTAAATCAATAAACTTTTATTCTGTGATTTTTTTTTCTGAATTTTGTTTTTTGTTAGTCTCAACATTTAATACACCAGACAATATTGGACTTATCTTGGATAATCAGCAAATTGGACCAACTACACAAATTATCAAAGAGTCAGATTTTCCACTGCAAGCATATAAGCCCAAGGTTCAAATTCCATTTGAAGTGCTTCCAGGACAATGCCCTCGAAAGATTGCAATTGAGAGGTATTTTCATCCTGAGTTCAATCAATCATCCTCTGCTTACTTATTTTATTTATTTTGGAAATATGTAAGATCACCCCTCTACAATGACTTTGGACAACATACAATAAAAGCAATTATACAATATAATTATTATAAACTTGGGGGAAGAAGGCCTATTGTATTCACCCCCTATAGATTTCCAAAGAGCTTTTGCAGAGTTTCCTGAAGCCTTAATAGGCAATTTACCTGTGTGCCTGGCTGATCTCTGAAATAAGAGGTCGCTTGCAAAGCTTGATATAACTGCTCCTGAGTGATAATAATTTCAAGGGAATTCCTTGGTTTTCTGAGGAGCACCAGGAGATGAAGCAGCTTAAGAGACACTTAAAGCAATGCTAGCATTACATGAATGCAACCAAACGTGGATAAGAGCTCATGTTCAAGCATATGCTGTGGTGCTAAGAACAGCAAAACATGCATACTGTCAGCTCAATTATTTAAAGTGAGTCAGTCTCCCCCCCCCAAAGGAAAATGGAGCTGGAAGATCTGTTGAGCAATTGAAATGAATTTATAAAGCATATAGAGGATAAAATAATTCCTGCTCAGAGTTGAATGCCAGCTGAGCAGGTGCAACTGAGAGGAGACCTTGTTTAGTGAGGTGATATGTGATAGGTTCCTCCTGTGGATCCTGAAGAAGTTGACAAGGTTCTTAGTGTGGCAACTTATATGTAGCAACTCAATGAGTATGGGTAGTAGTAAATGTATCCTTGAGGGAGAGACTTATTATTCAGCCTTTTCAGTTTGTGCAGCCATATTATCTGGTGATCAACCTTCCAAGGAGTGCACATCAATGATGCAATGGTGGGTGTAGCTAAAGCAAAGAAGGGATGGGATCTCCCCCCCCCCTCTCTCTCTCACACACAGAGAGAGAGAGAGAGAGAGAGAGAGAGAGAAACCTGCAAAGCAGAATCAGAGCATTATACTTTGCCAGCCTCTGTAGTTGATTTGCCAGTCAAATTGGCTCTTTCTTTGCTGCTGTTCAGCAGAGCAGGAAAGAAATTGCAGACATGGGATATTTAAGTCATAGTCCCCCTTTTATTACCATGGAAACAAATGAGTAGCAGCAAGAAGGCATTGGCCTCTGATGGAGCAGCTTTCACTAACCTTACAAGACTAGGAATCTTGAAGCTCATCCTCCCTATGAAGCTGCCTTTGCCCATTGTTCATTTTTAACAGAAACAGGATTTCAGAAAAGGGATGGGAGGGTGGTTATACTCTAAATAGGGAAAACCTGATGGATCAGAGTTTTCCCACCTTTATTGTAGGCTTGGATTGGATTTAGGTATAGGTTATTCTGCATAAAATTGGGTTATCACTATGAAATGTATTACTTTTCCCGTAGCACTAAAGTGTTATGGAGAATTAAGGCTGTCACTGACCACTAATCATGATAGCTATATTTTAGTTCTATTATTGGAACTTTTCCCAGTCTCAGGGAACTTGCTTTCAGAAACACAATGAAAAGTATATTGCTCTCATGTCTTATTTATGAGCTTTCCTTATGTTTCACTCTGGTTATGGTGAGAAAAGGATTTGGACAAGGTGGTCTAATCTAGCATAGCTCCTTGTATATTCTTACATAGAAAGATTCCTTGAAAAAACAATGATCTACTGATGGATGTACATTAATTTGGGATATTCTTCAAGATAATAGTGTAGGCACATTAGAAAATCAGTTAGAAAATCTTTAGCAGCATTTTACGGTGGAGGCTATCTGAAATATAAGTTGATTGCATCTTTAGTAGCGATATCATTAGCTAATGAAGGACTTGTTTAAATATAAACCATTTCTTCTTGCTGTTTAATTAGGAAAAGACGATTATATCTCAGCTTAGATATCACAAAACTTTTAAAAAATGCAGGAATAGATTCTAATGAGCTGATGCCAAGACACCAAGACCCGGCTAATTTACCAACAATTGAACAAAACAAAGACCCTCTTTTCCCCATCTATCTACCATTACAGGTAAGAGGAGGGGATTATTGGTATTTGTGTTCCACTGTGGGGGTTCCCAGGCCTATAACAGACATTTATCAAAATGTTTGTTATTTTATGATTTTTCATCCTCTTTTCCTTAGCATTTATAAATACCCAATTATTATTTGGAAGGTGCTGCTGTCCACTATGTCTAGCACGGAAGAGATTCATTTAAAAATTAAGACTCTGGTTTGAGTGTCGAGTGGAAGTTGAAATAACCATAGTGCTTAACAGTAACTACATGTCTTTCATGGGGGAAAGTTTAATGATTGGGAGTCTGGTCCTACAGAAAGTAACTTACACAAAACTGCCTCAGAATAATGACTGCATTCCAGAGTTAACAGGACATTTCATACAGCCCAGGTTGTTTTCGAGTTAAATATTAATATGCAATTTCTTGATTATGATTATGTGCCATCAAATCAGTGTCAACTCTTAGCAGTCACATAGGTTTTCTCCATGATTACAACTTCTTGTTTATTTAGATTTTTGATGATGAAGAATATGATTGCCGGACCCCAGAAGAGTGGCTGTCTTTGGGGGTAGAGCCTGAATCTCCAGATCGGAAACCAATTCCAGGAAAAGCACTCTTACCTACTGATGATACACTTGGACATGGTAAAGTACAGATGATACAGAATTAAGTTATAACAATGATTAAAAGAAAAAATTACAATGAGATAGCTTTTATCCCCTCCAAGTTTTATATTTGGAAAATTAATTGGGAAGGAAATATGTTTTCTTAGTTTAAATAAATCTATTTATTTACCTGATTTATATTCCGTGGCTGTACTATTTCAGAGTGATTAATAAAGTAAGACATAGTATAAGAACATTAAATAAAACATAATAAAAGAAAGCTTGGAACTAGCATAAAAAATTAAAATAATAATTTCACAGAGTAATATAGAAACTATTATAAATTAAAGCTGCTACATAATAAGTAAAAGGATGGAAAAAGTAGGTTTTTTTACTGGAAAATAAAGAACATTAGTGGAAGTGCCAGATGAGTCACTTTGAAGAGACAATTCTACTAGTGGGAATTTTTCATTGCTCATGGCACTTTAAATAGAAACATCCTCCCCCCAAAATTCAGATTACACTCTCAGTGAATATATAGACTGATACTTACAATTTTAAAAAAATATATAACTTGTCAGGAATATCTGATTTCAGTTTATTTTCATGGAAACTGATTCTGTGATGCTCAGCATTTTGAGCTTTGATGTCAATGGGTCTAACCCAGGGCTTTTCAACAAGTAGTATGGGTACCACTTGTGGTACATTGGCACCTAGCAGGTGGTACACGACCATCCTAGGAAAGTGGTAATGGGGGAGGGGAATGAGCTGAACCGGTGCAAGCACCGCACAAGCCTGAGCGAGAGATGGCTGGAGCTGCACGGCTGTCAGGACTCAGCGGAAGTGCCAGGATCAGCGCTTCTTCCGGACTGTCAGGGCTCAGTGGAAGCACCAGGATCAGCACCAGGCTCCAGCTGGAGCTTGGTGCTGATCCTGGCGCTTCTGCTGAGCCCAGAAAAAGCACCGATCAGCTGGAATATTGCAGCATCTCCAGG